GAAACTGAAGATGGTGTTTCAAAAATGAGGTATCATCAAGAGCGCTATATGCAGCAGTGAGGTCAAGGAAGATGAAGACCAGAAACCAGCCAATAGATTTTGATACATTCTATGGCTGGACCAAACCAGATGACTATAGTTTGAAGAGTGAATGAGAGGTTAAAAATATGGAAGTATCAAATGCAGGTTACTTTTTGGAAAGTCATGATCAAGAAGAGAAAGAGAAAAATAGATGATCGCTAGAAGGAGATACAGGACCAAAGGAGGTTTATATTTATTTATTTATTTATTTATTTATTTATTTATTTATTTATTATTGTTTGCATAAGGCATAGGAGAGAGTTCACATACACAGAAGGGCAAAGGCCTGGAAGCAAAGGAGAGGCTCAAGGTCCACCAATATCGAACACCAGGTTAATGAGTGTAGGCTATTTGGGGAAGCCAGTGAGCTTTGAGTAGGAGAGGGACACGTCTAGAGCCATGATTTCTGGAAGTTGATCTGTCTGCGGTATGCAGAAAGACCTGGAAGGAGAGAGAAACCAGTTGTCAGTTAGGAGGCCCTGGATTGGGGTGATAGTATGGAGCGAGGGGGCAAACTAGGGGCCAACATAGAGATGGCTCATGAACTCAGCTGCTGATTGCAGTTGGCAGCGGAAGAGGATGAAGACAAGCGGTTCTTGTCTTAGCCCTTTGGGAGGAATGCAGGAAGAGGAAAGAAATGAGGGTTTCGAAGGGACGGGTGAGTTCTGTGGGGAAAGACTAGATGCTCAGTGCTGGGGAGCTGGCAGTGCGGGTCAGCAGCTCAGCGAGGTCCTGGCAGGACTCAGCGATGGGTAGGCTCTCCGCACGGATTCCCACCTCGGCCCGGGTGCACCCATAGCCAGTGCTCGGGCAGCATTGGCTGCTGCACCGCGGCCCCATGTACAGCTTTCTACATCCTCCGGCACTTGGCAACTACAAAGAGGAGGATCCCAGTGTCTATCCTGTCCCCAAACAAGGGACGCTGGAGACTGAGAGCGAGCGTGGCCCCCCAGGTAGCGGCCCCTCTTCCCGGGGCTTGAAGGGAGCGCAGGACCTCGGAGCGCGCTCCCTAGACTGGACCTGGGTTCCCGCTGCGCAGGCGCCTCCCGGCGTCGCCTAGCAACCGGGGACAACCTTGGACTGGGAGAAGCCTTGGCGGGTGCTGTTCGCGGAGTCTAGGGAGCAGTTGCTCGCGGGGATCTCCGGGCAGGTAAAGGGAGGGGGCGGCTGCACGACTTCCACGCGGTTTGGAGAGGCCCAGGGCAGAAGGAAGGCCCAGCAAAACTTGGGGACCGGAGCAGGTGGGGACATCAGGGACAACCAAGGGAACCCTTTGTGAAGGGTGGTCGGTCCCAGTCTACACCCACAGTGTTAGGCTGGGCTAGGAGTGGGTTTCATAAGCATCTGGTCACCTCCCCTTTAACAGACAACAAAACTGAGACCCGAGAAGAGATCTGAGGGGTTCAGATTCCGTTACTTGACTAGGGGAGTGGGTCTCCACTTGCTCTAGCCCTCTCCCTCCCCTTTAAGTCTTCTCAAAATAAACCTCCCCATTGGAAAATATTTAAGATCGCCTAGACTTGAAAGTTCACGAAGGAGAGATGTGAATGATCAATAAACTAAAAAAAATTAAAAAAATAAAAAAATCAAGCAGCTGCAAAATTAAAGCCAACTTGTTTTCATACCCAGTGCGTTGAGTATGAGGTTCATAAACTTTCGTCTAGTTCTTCTGTAGCTAGGGATTTATTCTAAAAAAACAGTTGAGGATGTAGATGAAAATTGTATGTCTAAGGATGCATTTATTTATGTCTAAAGTTCATTGCTGCCTTGCCCATAGTCAGATAAAATTGGAAACAAATGCTCAATAGAAGGATCCTGGCTAAATTTATAGTGGCTTTTTGACTGTTATTTTAAATGACACATGCTGATTCATTGGATATAATTGGAGCAATAAATTGAGGCAGAGGTTTCAAAACCTGTTCATTAATTTAAGAATTTAGTATGAAATGGTCCCAGGAAAGGAAGTTGAGAATAGGGGACAGAAATCCAAGTAGGATGGTAAAATCACTGTAGAAAACACACACACAAAAAAAAGAACTATATTAAAATAGTGTTAACTCACAGAGCTTATTTATGAGTGATTTTTAGTTTATTCCATGTGGCCTTCTGGGTTTTACAAATTCTCTATAGTGAAATGTATTGCCTTTATAAGTGGTACACTAAAAAATGGTTAAAATGGTAAATTTTATGTGTGTTTTAATACAATAAAATAAATCAATGGGCAGGTGGTAAAATAGTCAAGGGAAACAGGTTTAGTTTGCTTCAAAAAATCAAAGGGATTTATTTTTCTTAATTCTACACCTCTGTAGCTTTAAAGGAAAACAAATCTTCAAAGAATAAAGTAAGATAATTTAATTGTATCATATTGATTGTAAGTGAAATAAGTTTAAAAAAAAACAACACAACTTATCTAATAGGATCCATCTCTGAGGCTCCTTGTCTGTGGCCTATGTCAGCTTTATACATTCTCCTCATTAACTATTACATACAATATAGTAATAAAAACACAAACTAAACACTTCCTACTTTATAACAGCTTCCTCACTGTAATCCTGTATGTTTAGGCTCTCCCAGCCTCTGTATTCTTCAACATACAATTACTCAAAAGCTGAAATAGGAAATATAAGTTCCTCAGTGGAACTCAGATGACTTAAAGCAACTTTATGCTCTTAATTGCTTCTCAAATTTTCATAAGGAATTATTCTGTTAAATTTAAGACTACTTTATTTCAGAATTTATTATAAAGAGCTATGAAATCCCATTTTTCTAGAGGTTAATAATTGAACAGACTTTGATTTATCCAAAATAGTTTCACAAAACATTTTAGGCACAAAGGCTAGAGCCTGTGTTTTAAAGCATCAATGAAAGAGGTTTGAGATTTGGGGGAAAGTGGGTCTAAAATATGAAGACAAGGGAAAATTTAATTTTAAATTAAATGTTTTACATTAATATTAAATTTTGAGTACATTTTAAAATAACTTTCTTATTTTGCAACAGTTTTCAAGTGCACAAACTGATTGCTGAGTGGTTTCAACTACAAAATTTTTAAACAGTTAATAATGAATATTATACAGTATATAAGTAGGGGCCCAGTGCACAAATTCGTGCACCTTGAAAAGAACTGTGGGCCACAAGGCTGCAATGGGCACAGGGGCAGGTATCAGCCCATCCTCCACATCCCTGCCCAACCCCTCCCAGTGCAGCCCCAGTCCCCTGTCTACTAGCAGCCCCGTTCCTACTGCTGCCACTCCCATGCACTGGTGGTGGCCCCCCTTGCACCTATTGATGACGATGAGTGATTGGAGCCAGCATCAGTAGTGGGTGTGAGCAGCAGCTGCTGCCCTGATAGCCCCTTAGGAGCAGGGGGAGGTAAAGAAACTCTCAGGGGTGATCAGGGCTGCAGCCTCAGCTTACACCCACTGATGGCACCAAGTGATTGGGACCGGTGCTGGGTGCTGGCAGTGGGTGTAAGCAGCAGCTCCAGTGCTGGCTGCAGGTGCAAGCATCAGGTGGGACCATCGTGCCCAGGAACAAAGAATTTTCAGTAACCACCAGAGGCTCACCCTGATGACAGCAACTCGTGCCCCACCTTGGTCTGGAGCCCCCACTCACCTGCTCCACCATTCTGCTGTGGCTGCCACCCACCATGTTCTGCACTCTGCAACCTGCTGCCAATGACCACCATGTTCTGCGCACGCCCCCTGGTGGTCAGCACAAATCATAGTGATTGGTTGCTCAGTTGTTCTGCCATACAGTCTATTTGCATGTTAGCCTTTTATTATATAGGATGGGGAATGTGGGTATATTTTAACATTTTAATATATTGGATATAGTGTGAGGAAGTACATCACAGAGTAAGCTTGTCCAGGCCATCAAAGATCTTGAAATTTATGTGAACTGAAGTTAGGGACTTGAAGTAGATGTCTTTCAAAAGTCCCTATGAATGTGTAGAAATATGTGGGTTTTAACATATGTGATAAATTCCGGTCAGTGTTTCTCATGCTAGCAGCTGCTTTTCTTCCTTGATAAGCCATTTGAACTAACACTGACATTATAGATTCTCTCCAAGGATTTTCTATTTCTCAGGATTTCTTTTGAGACTGTAGGTCATTTTCTTAAAACTAGAATATATCATCTGAGAGAGATTGCTTAATGCTAAGTATTGTATAATCCCACAAACTCCCATTGGAGAAAATTTGAAAAATTTCTAGGGTTGTTCTAACAATCACCAACATCTTGAAAAGTTTTCTGTACCCAGGTGGAGTTAATCCTAAACTTTTCCACACAGGCATGGACACATGAGGGCAGGTAGGAAAGTTTTTGCAAGGAGTAATCCTTATTTCCTAGGAATGCATTTCTTTAGATTCTCAATTAGTTTTTATTTAGCTTTGTATTACATCAGATACAATTTTGTTATTTGGGAAAATGACACAAATGTTCATCTGGAGTTGTTAAATCTTGGATACAATTCACAAAACCACTACTCCCAGGAAAACAGAGTTAATTATTTTTATAAATGCTGAATGTCTACTATGTGCCAGACACTCTTTAAGATGTTTGGGATAGATCAATGCAAGAAAGCAGACAAAAATCCCTCCTTTTGTGGCAAATATGCTTGCAGATCTCAAAAGTAACTTGGAGTTTGTCTCCCAAGCCCTACATGATAAACTAAAGATTGAAAGTTATGTCACTACTATATTCTCTTTCTTTCCAAACTGGGAGCCAGGACTAATTCCCAAAAATCTTTGAATAGGGATGTAGGTAACATATTTGTACAATCTGCAGTAATTTCTACATGTATCTCATATTCACTTTTTAGGTAAAATGTAAAGGAAATAGATCTCATAAAGATATAGATAACTGAGAAATTTGTACATATATAATATGTAAATGACACTTTAACCATTTACTGCATCTTTTCCCAGAATGGGTAAGAAGATAAAGAAGGAAGTAGAACCCCCTCCTAAGGATGTGGTAAGTTTCTGATTTGTATTCTAGTAGCACGTCAACAACCAGTTTTAAAAATAAATTGTTCAAACAGTTTGGCATGTACCAGTATATACATGTGTACATGGTGGCAGAAGTCCAAAATCTGACTAATGATAAGATTAGTCAGAGAAATCTAATATTATATAAACAAACATTTATAGTATTGTCATTACCTAATTAGCACAATTAAAGAGTAATTATTAGCTTTTAGTGTGTGGATGGCATCTTGATAAGCCAAATTAATGAATAAATAGTTTTGGTTTGTTCTTTTAAATACTTTACATTTGTCAGTCTCTCAATAATCTTAATTATCCAAGTGAATTTTCACAATTAACTGGGAATTATGCTATAGATATTATATTTGTATATAAGGTTGTCAGAGGATGACCTTTTGGATGTCAGAAGATTTGTATTTTCCAATTCTGTGGAGAGAGAAGTCTGGATTCATCATCAATTTCTATTACAAATGCTTAAGTAATGCATTCCTTATAACACAAAGCCCTTTTTCTGTCTTTTAAAAACGTGTTTTTATCTTCTCTCTTCACATTTTTTGAATTACTGAAAAATGGTGTTTAAAATAGAAAATGACCCTGGACAATTTTTAGTTTAGAAATTTGTTTTGAAAGTTACTTGGTATGATTTTCTTCAAATAAAACAAATGGAAAAAAATAAGCATGTATAGTCAACTTACAGCATTTTATAGTTTGAAAGAAACTGAATTTAGTGCATTGGAGCATTAAGCTCCAATTACAAATGAAAGCTTGGTCCCTGTTCTGTCTCTTACAAATGGTGTGTGTGTGTGTGTGTGTGTGTGTGTGTGTGTGTGTTATGAAATTATGAAATTTGGACAAGTTACTTCAGTTTTTATTTATCTCTTCAATGAGAATTGTAACAACCAACTCATTTAAGTTGTTGTATGAATTAAAATGAAATAAAACATATAAAGTTCTCATTACCTGACACATAGCTACTACTAATAAGATTTAAATCATGGGAATCCTTTAGACTCTGACACACACACACACACACACACACACACACACACACACACACTTCAGTACAGTTGGGAACAGAGGCTATGGCAGCACCCATCTGCCCAGGTTTAAGAAAACTTTGCATTGTGGTCTCCTGATGTATTTTCATCACTGTGGCTGCTCTCCTTTGAACATACTCTTAAAACATAACAATTCTTTTAGTTTTCATTACATTCTAGGTTTTCATTACCTCTCCGTTTGCTGCAAAAGAGAATTATTGACATTTTATTACTAGAAAGTGAACTCATGAACATAGTACTTAATGACAAACACTTTGGATTAAAATGAGAATTAAGGGACTATTAATGGATGTATTAGTCTAAGACGCTTTCTGTAATTTTATCATGTATTTCTAATATTATTCTCTGTATCCTAATCCTTGGGTATCAAGACTTGAGAAATCATTCCAACCCTAGCTTTAACAGAAATCTAGCTCTTGCTTTCTAAGTTCACAAAAGCCTTGGGGCAGTCAGAGGCATGTGCAGCAATTACCGTATTTTTCGGACCATAAGACGCACTTTTTCCCCCCCCAGAAGTGGGGGGGAAAAGTCCCTGCGTCTTATGGTCCAAATATAGCCTACACATATACTGTAAAAAAAAAAGTTTTTTTACTTGCCCGGCTCTGTGTGGTCTCTGTGTGCTTGCCTGGCTCTAAAATGGTTCTAAATGCTGCTGTTTACTTTACAGGGTTGATTACATGTGTTTATGACTGTGATGTTGGGTTTTAATGCACATAAAATATTATATTTTAGGACACTATTTGTTTCAGAATCTTTTTTTCTTCATTTCCCTTCTCTAAAAACTGGTGCGTCTTATGGGCCGGTGCTTCTTATGGTCCGAAAAATAGGGTACCAATGGTCCCTGACTACCAATTGCCCTCGGGTCCTTCCATCTTTCCCCTACTCTGACTTTATGCTAAAAAGTTGATAGATTAATATTAAAATATTTAACTATGTTTCTGTCTTGTAAATTCTAATACTTTAATACTACAATGTAAGGCATCTGAACTTGGAATTTGTTACAAAGCATTCTTCTTCAAAGTCTAGGCAAGGTTTGATGTACAAGTTATAAATGAAAACCACTTTTAAAAGAGATACTGCTGAAACCGGTTTGGCTCAGTGTATAGAGCGTCAGCCTGCCGACTGGAAGGTCCCAGGTTTGATTCTAGTCAAGGGCATGTACCTTTGTAGTGGGCACATCCCTGGTAGAGGCTGTGCAGGAGGCAGCTGGTCGATGTTTCTCTCTCATCAATGTTTCTAACTCTCTATCCCTCTCTGTAAAAAAATCAATAAAATATATTGGAAAAAAATAAAATACAAGAGAGATACATAGCCAAGACAGGTTTGGCTCGGTGGATAGAGCTTCGGCCTGCGGACTGGAAGGTCCCAGGTTGGATTCCGGTCAAGGGCGTGTACCTTGGTTGCGGACACATCCCCAATGTGTGGTGTGCAGGAGGCAGCTGATCAATGATTCTCTCTCACCGATGTTTCTAACTCTCTATCCCTCTATCTTCCTCTCTGTAAAAAATCAATAAAATATATTTTTTTTTTAAAAAGAGAGTTACATAACTGCCTGAGAAAATAAACTTTCTGTGTCAGCTAATGTTTTGCTTTTTTATAGATTTCCTAAAATCATTGTTTCCAAATATATTCTTTCTGTCCCCAATTTTAAGCTTTTTATTGAAGCATAATATACATACAGAAAAGTGCACAGATACAGTTCAATTAATTTTTACACAATAAACACACCCATGTAACCAGCACCCAGATAAAAACAAAGCAAAATATGACCAGTGTCCCAGAAATCCCCCAGGCCCGCCAATGACTCTGACATCATAGAATAGTGTGACCTGTATTTGAAATATATAAATGGAACCATAAAATATATTCTCTTTTGTCTGACTTCTGTTTAATAGTGCATTTTTGTGATTTATCTATTCTATTGCATATAATTGTGATTTTTTTCCTTTATTGCTTTATGACATCTCATTGTATGACTATACCTCAATTTACCTATTTATTCTAGCATTTTTAGTAGTTTCTCATTTGGGGTGTTATAAATGTGTAGCCATGAACATTCTAGTGCATGTCAGCAAATTTTATTTTCACTAGTCTTTCAACTACTAGTTAAAATGGGTAAAAGTGCTTAGTGATATGTTTAAAAGAAAAAAACTCCTTTTGCTTTTCTTAATATTCTTCTTGACAAAACATACATTAATATGTGCATATATGGTTTATTGATCTCTGTTCCTTCTCATAAAAGGGAACACTAGCTAAGAAGATGCCTAGATGTTGGAAGATGTGGATTAAATAAACAATACAACTACTGGTATATTCTGCTCCCCCATGCTTGGTTGAAAGGCTGTTAGTAATGCTATAATACATGGCAGGTTTATTGTAGAATGATTGCATAAAATAATTACTAATAGAAATTACCTTAGTGGGAAATACTTATTATAAGGCAAGATATTCAGCAGCTAAAAGTAAGGTTCTGGAATTAAACTATCTGAACCCTCACTCCATCATCCACCATCCATGTTCTGGGGCAAATTTCCCAACCTCTGTATACCTCAGTGAGGATGCAGTGATATCTACTTCACAGGACATCCACTTAATATCTACTCATAGAGGTAAGGTTATATCAATGTAAGATGTTTAGAACAGTGCCTGGCACTAGTTAAGAGCTGAATAAATGCTAATAACATAGTTGAGGGTACTGTTCATTATCCCATAGGACTGTAGAAGTTTGAACCATCAAAGGAGACAAGTGATCAGCTGTGGGAGACCAGCTGGCCTTAAAGTCCCAGGAGGCCTGGTGCATGGCCATCATGATTAGCGGCCAGGTCTTCGAGTTTACGAGCATGGGCATTATATTATCTTAATACTTCAGGGGCAACTGAGCTTCAGTGGACAAATCACAGCAACTAAACTTGAAAGAGAATGTGACCTTGCTCTAATCAGAGTATCAGTGATTAAGTATCAACTGAATATTTATGTTAAAGGGTCAGCACTTCTCCCCATAGTTAATTGTTTCTGGGGAAGCTAAGCTTGGTGAGTATTGAATCGGAGCAACATACAATAGTAAAACCTGTTCCCTCATCTGGGCAACCAAACCCAGTTCTTTGGAAGACTGGGATGTCTCCTGGGGCTTGTTTTTCCTCAAGCTTCTTCATCAACCTCAGAATTCGATCTTAAACATTCTGTCAAAGACTGCCTCAGACTGTTTTCTAGAAATGAAGCCTCATTTTGACTTATTTTCCTTCATCACAGATAAGCCAAGCCATCATGAGTAAGAAATGTAATATAAATTTATTAATATGCACATATATGAAACTGGGTAATTATCAGCTTGCTCCCCTTGCACTAAATGTTTGTTACCTTGAATCATGTTGTAAAGCAAACTAGAGGCCAAACAAATTAGCTGTTTTCATTTTAACCTTTACGCTTTTTAGCAGACTTAAAATCTACTTAGTCTTACTGAAAGTTCACACTGCCTTTTGTATCTGTTTTTCTTTTCCTTTGTAATCGATTCCATGTGACCTGAGACCACTGATGTGGTTAACACCTTCAAAAAAAAAAAAGGCTTTTTATTTGCACTTACCAGCACCATAAAAATCATTCACTTGCCATGATTTATCTACTTTTCACTGAGTTCAACTTTGTAATTTTGTATTCTTTTTAGACTTGTTCTATCCAGTAATCACTAGCCACATGTAATTATTTACATTTAAACTTAAATTATGTAATAAAATTATGCTAATTAAAATTAACAATAAAAAAATTAAAAATCAAGTTCCTCAGTCACATTAGTTATACTTCAAGTGCTGAAGTGTCACATGAGGCTGTGACTACCGAATCAGAGACACAGATCAGCAACGCCATCGTACAAGTTCTGTTAGACAACCTTACCCTGGATAGTCTTATTTTCTTCAGACATATAAAAGTATCCCTA